GGGAAAATCCAGCCCTAATTCCTGCAGGGACACAGGCAGCCCTAATGCCTGCATTTTAGGGGAAAATCCAGCCCTAATTCCTACATTTTATGGGGGTAAATCCAGCCCTAATTCCTGCATTTTATGGGGGCAAATCCAGCCCTAATTCCCGCACCTTTAGGGGCAAATCAAGCCCTAATTCCTGCATCCTGTAGGGCAGATCCAGCCCTAATTCCTGCATCCTGCAGGGCAGATCCAGCCCTAATTCCTGCATTTTACAGGGCAGATCCAGCCCTAATTCCTGCATCCTGCAGGGCAGATCCAGCTCTAATTCCTGCATCCTGCAGGGCAGATCCAACCCTAATTCCTGCATCTTGCAGGGCAGATCCAGCCCTAATTCCTGCATTTTACAGGGCAGATTCAGCCCTAATTCCTGCACTGTCAGTCCCTGCTGCCCTGGGAGCAGCTCCTGTGCAGGGCTGGGATGCTCTGCAGGGCACGGAGCAGGGGTCACACCCAGCAGGGTCCCAGTTTCCAGCCCTGCAGACACAGAACCCACAGAACCTGAGGGAGTTCTGTCCCCAGCCCCCGTTCCCAAGTGTGGGGAGTGGGTTTGTGGAGAGTTCTCAGGGTCTGATGCACAGCATGCAAACTTTGAGGAAAAAATACTGATTTAGAAACGTTATGGGTATTGTTGAGAGAGAAATGGAGCTAGAAAAACGTTCCAACAGATGGCCTTGCAAATAGGACTAGATTGGAGAAATAGAGCTGTGAAAGATGCATTCTAGTGGGACTCACAAGGGGTAGTTTTGATGATTGGCTTTAAGGCACTTACAGCATGGTGTGACAAAAAGTTAATAAGCTAAGAAACTCTTACAGTGCTTTGTAATTAGGAAATAGTCAGCTTCTGGTTGTGATGGTGTGAACTGTGACATCTGTATTGTCTCAACCTTCAAATGAGACTGAAAGTGGAATAAAAATTATCTCTGACTCCAAAAAAAAATGTTATCCAACAGCAAGGACTCACCGCAGAGCCATCTCCTGGCCAGCCTGGCTCAGGGGGACGGGGGAAGGAGGTGCAGGAGGAGCCAAATTCCATTTCTCCACCTGGAGAAGCCTGTCCAGAGCCTGTGGAGATGGGATAGAGATGGAGATGAGATGGAGATGAGATGGAGATAGATGGAGATGGATGGAGATGGATGGAGATGGAGATAGATTGAGATGGAGATAGATGGAGATGGAGATGAGATGGGGATGGATGGAATGGAGATGAGATGGAGGTGGATGGAGATGGAGATAGATGGAGATAGACGGAGATGGAGATGGATGGAATGGAGATGAGATGGAGATGGAGATAGATGGAGATGGATGGAGATGGATGTAGATAGATGGAGATGGAGATGGATGGAGATGGAGGTGGAGATAGATGGAGATGGACGGAGACGGAGATGAAATGGAGATGGACAGAGATGGAGATGGATGGAATGGAGATGAGATGGAGATGGAGATAGATGGAGATGGATGGAGATGGATGTAGATAGATGGAGATGGAGATGGATGGAGATGGAGGTGGAGATAGATGGAGATGGACGGAGACGGAGATGAAATGGAGATGGACAGAGATGGAGATGGATGGAATGGAGATGAGATGGAGATGGAGATAGATGGAGATGGATGGAGATGGATGTAGATAGATGGAGATGGAGATGGATGGAGATGGAGTGTCCTGGCAGTGCCCAACCAGCCCGTGGGGCTGACCTGGGCCCAAACGCTCAGAGGCACCCACAGAGTGACACAGCACTGCTCCGGGACAAACGATTAATGAAAATAACCCAGGAGCAGCTCACTACCAGGGGCTGTGGCCCAGCCCAGCAGCTTTGCTGTGGCAGCTGGAGCCAAAGCAGCATTTCCTCCTGTTACAATTCTCATTTATTGGGCGCAGACCCCCCGTGCCAGCAGCGCCTTTGCCAAAGGTTTGCCCACTCCCTGCTGACACAAAGCACCACCTCCAGCTTGGATCACCCACCAAAAGCTACAGCAAGGGGTTGAAAAGGCCCAGATGAGCCCAGGGGCTCCGGGAGGAGGGCAGGGAGCAGGAGGAGCTGTGACACCTACGCCCTGCAGGCAGTCCTGGCACTCCATCATCTCCACGCTGCAGGCACTGATGTGGTTGCTGAGCCTCTTCAGCTGCTTCCTGATCTCACAAACTTTCCTGGAAAGAGAAAATGATGTCAAAGCTCCCAGACAACACGTGGCAGCGTTAATTTTATTTTTTTTTAACGTGTGTGTGTGTTTCAATTGCACGCTGCTTTTTGCAGACCTGGCTGGGTTCAGAATCCTGAAGGGGAGCAAATGAGTCAGGGCATGTTGGAATTGCAGCTGCAGCAGCCACCATCGGCCAGGTTATCCAAACAGCACTAAGAGCTAATTAATCAGGGAAAGTTGATTGCAAATGAGGCACCTCAGGCCTATCACTTCACGAAGCACAGGCTGGGCCTCTTGTTCCTACCCAAAAAAAGGCTGCTCACACCCAGCAGGCACATTTTAACACCCAGTTGTGTTAAAAAAAAAAAAATATTTGGTTTGGGTTTAAAAAAAAATGAAGGAAAGAATATTTCAGGTGAATGATCCACCTCAAGCCCCCAGAAAAACAACCACAAACAAACCCTGGCAGGAAACAAAACAGGACAATTAAAATTGAAGTAACAAGAAATTAAAAATATCCAGCTGTGACTCATGGGGACAGGAAAACAGGTACAAAAATACCCCAGGAAAACATGGAGAAGGATTTTTCCTCCCTGTGAGCAGAGGAAAAACCCTGCTTTAGTGTCCTGCACTGCATGGATTTTGAGGGGCTTCACATCCAGGGAGGAATCCCAATCCAAAACAGAATTCAAACAGAAACGTGGGCGAGTCCAGGGCTTCCCTCTGGCTGCCCTGGGACCCTGGAGGGGTCAGGAACCCCC